AGTTTTAGAAAACTTTTGAAAAAATGTTCAATAGCTAACTTATTTGAAAATGTTTGAAAATATTTCTTTTAATTTTTAAAAAAATTTACATGTCTGATTTCTTACAATCAATTGATTATCAAATATGACATATGATTCAAACTTGTTATTTATACCATTACGTGTTATAGATGGAGTTAAAATTGATATTTCTTTTATTGAATAAAGTATAATAGAATAAATTAATGCTCAATTGAATGCTAAATGCTTGAAATATTTTTTCTGTGCTTTGAATTTTGAAGATTGCATGAGAATCTCTACATGTACTACTAACAAGGAAATTTGGGATAAACTATGCATTACATACAAATGAACTAGTGAAGTCAAGCAATCTAAGATGAACATTTGACTACATGCTTTGAACTTTTCAGCATGAAACTTTATGAGACTATCTTAGACATATATGCTAGATTTACTCAGATAATAACATCTTTATATGCCTTTGGTAGAAAAACTTCAATCTTTAAAAAGTTCAACAAAATTCTACATTCTCTAATTGATAAAGTTGATACCAAAGTCATGGATATACGTTAATAAAAAAATTTGAATACTTATTCTATTGACAATCAAATTGGCTCACTCATTACATACGAGCAAAGTATGAGTCAAAGAATTTTGGATGCAGGTAATGAGAAGACTATAATGCTAAAAGCTAAAGACACGGATGAATATGGCTTAGTAGATGATGAGAGTAAGAAGATAACATTGATAACAAACAATTCAAAATTCTATTGAAGTACAAGCATAAGCATAAATAAAAGTGGAGCAAAGATAAAAAAGATAAAAATGTTAAGTTTTCTTCTAACATTATATACTTTAGGTGTAAAAAACTTGAACATCTGAAATTTGAATGCTTAAATTTAAAAACTTATCTTGAAAAGAAAAAGGGTGAAATAAGAAAAATGTAATAAAGGCAAATGATAAAAAGTAAAAAAATATCCTAAGCAGACTTAGCTTATGAATCATTAGAACAAGAGTAAGATGATGAGGTAACAAACTTATGCTAAATCATCAAGGATTCAATTGTTAATTCTAATATGGTATAAGTATGGTAAGGATTATTTGTGTGATTTGTTTATATGTTTTGTGTGATTATTTATCTATTTTATGTGCTTGATTTTTATTTTGTTTTAAGCATAATTACATAGTTTCTTTATGTATGTTATTATTTTCTTGTACATGTATTTTAGTTTTAGGTGTTATTTTATCTCTTCTTGTTGATAATATCAAAGTGGGAATGTATTATGGTTGCTTGTATTTGTGGCTTGATTTTTAAAATTTTATGTTATTTAGTTTTAAATTTTATTTATCTTAAAAAAATAAAAAAAATGATTTCCCCTATTTTTTATTATAATTTTTTTAGTGAGTGGGAGTTTAGGAGAAAATATTTTTAATTTGTAAATTCAACCATTAATATTTACTATCTTAAAAAGGGGGAGATTGTTGTAACTCAAGCTTCCAAGTTTATGATTTTGATGATAAAAAATATTATTAATTACCTCTTTATTTCTCAAAGTATTTTAGTACATAATTGTTTGCTTGTTGACTAACATTTCATGTACAACATACACTATTCTTTGAAGATCTAGGGCTCAAGATTAGGTTGAATATGTTATGTTAAAAGATTTTATAATTTCCATTTATTTATTTTTAATTTCTTTAGTCAAGTACTTTAAGGAAATATGTTAGCTTACTGACCATGCACACAAACACAAGAGGAGCAAAAATGTTTTTAAATATTTTAATTTTTCTATAGAGCGTACTATATGATATGAATCATATTATATGATTTGGTATTATAGAAATTAATTAAAATATTTAATTATTTTAAATAAAATATATTTTAAAATATAACTAATCATACAGTACCAATACCATATTGTACTAGATGATCTGTTATAATTAAACACCCCGTTGTTTATTAAATTAGGTAAATATTTGAATTTAAAAAGTTGTTCTATTCATACTGCAAAAACCTAATCATATTATATGATGTTTAAAATATTGCCTAATTTAATCATATGATTAATCAATCGAATCAGCTTAATTTTGATATTTTGATCATACTGTATAATTAATAGAAATGATTTTGGTCATCCCATGATTTGACTTGGATGAATTGCATTTTGGTTAATTAATCATATTATATGATTGGTCATTTATACTGATGATCACACAATACTAACATGTAAATTGAATTATTTGTACTAATAATCATATAGTACCGATAGGTTAAATTCTACACATCTTATTAGACGATCCTGCGATCGTACTATATGATCTTTGACGGCTGAATTAAACTTTTTGAGTTTTTTTTTAATCGCTCTACTTAATTTTTCTCCAAAGACATTGTAAGTGTATTTGTCATGTATTGAGTCTCCATTCTTTTAGAGAAAACTTGAAGAGAAAGCCTTGAAAGAGAGAAAGGAAATGGTGGAGTTTGAGAGAGAGAAGATCTTTGTGGGTTTTAAGGGAGTGTGGAGGGGGTTTCACATGGTTTCTCTGTCAAGCTTACATCTTAGTACCATCGGATTCAAAGTTTATTCCAAAGGAAGTTTTGGGAAGAAAATGATATCTTTGGTGTCAAAGGACCTAGCTACTCTATCGCATCATAGATAATGAAAGTGATTTAAGGCTCTTTGCCTCGGTCGGAGGGTGAAAGGGAGTCTAGGTTCTTTGCCTCACTAGGAGGATGAAAAAGAGTCAAGTTCTCTGCCTGTGAAAGGAGTATGGTTCTCTACCACACCGGGTTGGTGGAAGAGAGTTTGTAACGACTTCTCTGCTTAGCTGCGGGGCTAAAGGAGAGTCACTAAAAGATTAGTACAATACCTGAAGTGGGTGACTTTGGGGAGTGGACATAGGTCATGGTTTGACCAAACCACTATAAAATCAAGTGTGTTCTTTTTTATTTTATTTTTTACAGTTTAGTTTTCAACATTTTATTTTTTATTATAACTGTTTAGTTGAAAATTTGTGATTGTTATTATGTTGTATTAATTAGATTATTATCACCATCTTTCTAACTTTTGATAAGTATACTAGCTTCCACACAGAGTGATAGTATTGCTTCCGTATTAGTGTGCCTCGAGCTAGTTCCTTAAGTTTTAACAACCTCTTCAATCTTTTAATATTTTATAACTAAGTCTTTTTTTGTCTACCTCTACCTTTTTTAATATAAGTCAAATCTAATACATCCACCTTTCTAACTGGATCATTGGAAGGTCGTCATTTTTTGTGACCAAACCATCTAATGCAACTCTCTCTAATCTTGTCTTCCACTTGAGCTACTCCAACCTCTTCATGTATATGCTCATTTTGTATCCTATCTCTAAGAGAAATTCCACTCATTCACCTAAGCATTGTCATCTCTGCAACACTAAACTTAGTATTATGTTTCTCTTTTAATGGCCAAGATTCTTCACCATAAAAGCATTGTAGGTCTCACCACAATCTTATAGAATTTTGCCTTAAGTTTGAGGGGGACTTTTATATCACACAACAAGCCCAATGCATTCCTCCACTGCAACCATCCAACTTGAATTCTACTAATAATATCCCAATCTATTTCACCATCACTCTGAATAATAGATCGAAGATATCTAAAATATGTACTCTTATTAATTCCCCTTATGCTTATATTTTTATATTATCTTTTATTAATATCTCCTCATTCTGATTATTTTATTAACTATAGTAAAAGTAATAATTAAAAAATATATAAATTAGGGTAGTAACAACATCATAGATTATAGTTAAAATGAACACTGCTTTATAATTAATAGATTAGAAAAATTAATAATTAATTATATTAGATCATTTATTACAAAGTAAGCATACTTCATTGTGGGTTCGACACTCTATTCTGTCACTTTATTACTTGATTCCACACATATACTTGCTTATATTAAGTGGGGTTTTATTATTATTTATGTTAAAAAAATTTAAGCATTGCTTAAGGGTGAAAGAGTCTTAAATTTTTATACAATTCAAAAGTTCACTCCACAGCCCCACATTAATTATACCTGAATCTATAAACCACCTCTACTTTGAATGTGATTATTCCCTTTCTATTGTTGCTTCCCTTCTTCCATGGATAAGTAGTTTTTTTGCTCAAACCAAATATCTTGAAAGCTTTTTAATACATCATTGAGTTGTAGTCTACTTAGTCTATATTATAAAGTTATAATTGCTTGATCTTTACTTACTCTATCACATATGGAGGGAAAATGAATAATCTTCAATTTGGATCTTCAATGGATAGCATCTCTATAGTCATATTTATGATTAAGAAAGCCATCCATTTAAAGATTTTCAAATGAAAAAGTTGGGAGAAACTCAAATGGATTATGGAGCATAATGGACATTGGGTTTTCTTGTCATGTTATATATTATCAGTTTTGGTTGCATGGGTGGCTTTTTTGGGCTTTGCTGTTTTTCGGGTTCCTGTCTTCATGTATGTTACCTGTCTGTTTTCATGATAGAGAAATGTTTTTGGTCTGGTTGGGTTTTGATTTTTCTCCATGGATAATAATGATGCCCCATTGTGCAAACCCTTCACCTTGGACAATCAAAATGGCAATTAGGGGAAACATTGAGCTTCAAATAGTTTTTCTTTATGCTTAATGCAATGCATCTATATATAAGTCGATGAGTTGGTTCCTTCTTTACTTAGTCTTTTTGTGCAGCTCACATTTATAGTTTATTGCACACTAATTTCATAAAAAATTCATATATACTAGTGAGCATGATTTCTTTGATGCAGCTCTTGCAACTCCATTTATTTTATAGAGAGATTTACATTCATATATTTTTTTTCATTTTATTTAAATATCTAATGTCTAAAATTTTAATATTTCATATCTATCACTTAAAATTTTGTTTTTATCAAATATGTCACTCATATTTTATTTTAATCATTTATATTTAATATGAATATAATCCACAAGTGATATGAATGAAATATTAGTTTGGTCGCAAAATTGCGCAAGCCGACCCCTTTCCCCCAACACTCTAGCTGCTCAAATCGGCGTCCCCTACATTCTCGGTGCCGGCCAAGCGCATTCGTCCGACGCCATTCCACACACTCGTGCCCTTCCCGACACCATTGCTGTCTACATCCCTCGAATCTCGTTTGGGACTTCGATTCCTATTTTCTTTTGGGCTGCGGATTTGCTTCCGGCCGCCCGAGGGACCGATGGCTTTATCCGCCTCCGATGTCGAAACCGTTTACTCACTGCTCTCCGACGCTTTCAGCCCTGACTTGTCTGTACGAAGACCGGCGGAGTCCGCCCTCGCTCAGTGCGAGCGCCGCCCCGGATTCTGCTCATGTCTCCTAGTAAGCTGTCCATCTCTGCCTCATGTTGCCTTCTTCTTCTTTTTGTTGATTTTTAGGTGCATAGATGTATTGGAGCATTCTTGAAGATAGTGGTGGATGCAGGAAATCATAGCCGCCAGGGATGTGGCTTGCCGTGATGACGTCCGTCTCCTGGCTGCCGTTTTCTTTAAGAACAGCATACGTCGCTTCTGGAGGCAACGGTGAGATGTTTATTTCGCATGAATCACACCTTTGATTATTCTGATGTTTCTGAAGATTGAATCTTTAATATCAACTGTTTTACATTCTGCATTTAGGAATACTACGTACTTCAGCATCTCGTTAAGATATTATAGGCTACTTCATAAGTTTTCAACTAGTCGGTACAGCGACTCAAAGGTTTACCCTTTTGCTCTCTTTGGTCGCTCAGACGGCGTATGGTTTCTGGATATTGAGGATAATGTTTAGCAAGTCGAGTTGTTGTATTGCAATAGATTGGTAGTTTTGTTATTTTTCTATTTTTTATTTCCATATTCCCCCTCTCCCATTCATTTGAAAGGAGCCTAATCAGCAACTTAGCTTGCTATGTCAAAACTATGAGAGAAATGGATGGAAGAAATCAGGCTTGTGATGAAATATAATCGAGTCCGTTGGAAATTTTAATAAATGCAAAAATTGTTACTTGTTTTTTCAGTGGAAAAGACATCAATAATGTCCGCCTGGAACTCCATCTATCGAGAACTAGGAGCTTCTGTTGTTTTTGCCAAAGGAAGACACCTTAATAAGGATCAGTAATCATGTAAATTACCATTTAATGCCTTGAAAGTATTATCGTTTTGTGTGATGAGCATGCAATTCATTCTTCAAGGAAAGCCTTTTGATTCAGCTGTGGTTTTCAAAGTTTATTTTTCATGTATATCTAATGATAAGGTGTCTGTGTATGGGTGACGTGATGAAGTTGGAGTGACAAGGCACAAATACATGAACATGGAGATTATCATAAATGAGGTGGTAACAATCCTAAAAATGATTTTAGAAGAAACTCCTGATCTAGAGTAGATGAGGCAAGCCTAAGTCCTGTATATTCCTGAACTTTTATAGTAAAGATTCAGATTTAATTTCAAACATGGATTGTTATCTTCTACTAAAATTTGGATAAATAATATGATATGCTTAAGCAGACTTCTAAACAATTACAATTGTGATATACATAGAAGTTGATGTGGGGAGATACATGAAGAATCAAGATGAAGAAGAGCTAAACAGCTCTTGGAGACCCAAAACAGCTAAACTGTTATTTATAAATTCCAAAAATATTCATTCCATCTTCTTCTACCTATAGCAGCTATTCATAACAATATAATACAAATGTCTAGAACTCTCTAGAAAAAGGTACTAAATTAGATAAACTATCCCTAAGCCTTGATTTAACTAATATGCTCCGCCTCATTCTCCTATGGTACGAAGAAAGCTAAGTAGGGGCGGAGTGGGGATGAAGTTCTTGGGAGCAATGCAAAGGCGTTGGATCGCTCCAGGAGCTTGTCGCCGAAGGCCTATTAGACGGGGGGCTGCCGAAGGGAGGGTGAGGGTGAGGATGTAGGTGGTGGCTAGTAGGTAGTTGTCTTTGAATTTCTGTGGCTTCCACATTGCGTGCATTATTTCCACAGTAATGACGTGGCCACCAAAGGAGTAGAGAATGTTGGTATCGCCTGTAAAGTAAAGAACAAGCTTCGATGGCCCCGAATGCTTCACCCCATCCACCTAGCCGTTGAAAAGAGCAGCAATGACAAGATACTAAGCAGTGTTAAGTGGTCATAAGAAGGCCAAGAAATGACCATATCCTGTAGTTTCTTAATGCAATAAAAAATTTGGGAGAGGGCCCCAAATTTTTGATCACAAAAACACAATCAACTTCCTATATAAAAGAAGACACAAAATGCTCAAAAAGAAGAGATAACTAGAAATTCTAGAACAAACTCTTATATTTCATATAAATGAACACTTTTATAAATAAAGACTTACAACTCTTAAAATTAAACGACTTACAAACAAAGACTCAAACAAGACACCCTAAACTTGCTTACTTTGAGAAGAGGGATACAGGTGAGGTGGTCACTTGCGGAGAGACGAAAGAGATTAGAAGCCGAGAAGAAGGGTGGAAAGAGCTCGCAAGATTTCCCAAGAAATAGAAGAAGAAGAGATGGAACTAGCTCGCAAGCTTTTCCAGCAAAACCCGCAGGTTTGCATTTCCAAAAACCAATCACATAACATTACTTAAACATACAAAAAACATCCCTATATATAGGCATGAGAGAGGAATACAAATAGCCACAAGATTAATTTAAAAGCTTATTTAAATAGGGAATATGAAAAGCCAACAGTCAACTTCAGGAAACGAAGCATCAAGCCATAGAAAAGCCCCCATACACTCACGGGAAATAGCCCAGCTAGGGAACCGAAGGAGCAGCCACGGAACCAAAGAGGCCCGCACAGAACCGAGGCGCCAAAAGGAACGGAAAGGCCCCCAGCTCGGAAAACCAGCAGCCCACCGTCGGAACCAAGGAGCCAAGGCACGGGAAAAGCCAACCGTGGAAGCCAAGGAGCCAAGGCACGGGAAAACAAACAACCTTGGGATTCCAAAAGCCACTTTGGAATCCCAAGAGACAAACTTAAATTTAAGACAAAAAAACTATAAATAAAAATTACATAATTAAGATAACTAATGAACTAAAACTTAGCTAATAATGAGCTAACCTTTAGTTCAATAAATGAACTAAAAATCAGCTCATAAATGAGCTAAACTCCAGCTCAAAATTTATATAACTAGTAAGCTCAAGGGAAGTCAAAACCAACTTATTTTGGGTTTGAGTTGACCCCCCTTTGCCTACATCATTTCTGAAAGAGGGGATGAACACAATGGCAACACAACAAGCTCCAAATATGTAAGTCCATGTTCTCTTGTCCATCTTGTCATTTATGTAATATATATTGCTAGCATAGGCAATGAGCTGGATAACAGAGCCAAAGAATAGAAATGTACAATTGAAGACCAAGCCCACCTTTCTCCAATGCTTTCTAAGCAATCCTTCAATAACTTTAAACCATAGTATTACATGATTTCTGAAATCAACCTTCTCCCTCTCCTTCCTAGTTCTGCACTCCACATAAAGAATACCTATAAGATATGCACTCTAGCTTCCCATGAGACCATAAAGAAGGTGGAATAGGATGTCGCTGAGCATGCCGAGCTGGGAGGAGGAGTAAGGTAAGGTGAGAAGCACCTGAGCAACCTGGTTAGAGGCACAACTAAACCAAGCGTCAGATCTGCTATGCCAGAGGAGGGACGAGAAGTGAGACTTAGTTGTCTTCTTCTCTCCTTCATTCTCCTTTTCGATGTATCTTCCCACCATTGCTTTTTCTACTATCTTGTCATCGTTGTGGTTTGAGGTTAAGCTCATTTTCCCTCTGGTTCTTGTTGCTTTTATCAATGTTTTTTGTGGTTGAACAGAGTAAGGTGGAACAGAGAAGAGTTGGTGGTCGTGTTTTGAGAGCGAAGTTGATGTGGGGATGGATCAGAGACAGAGCATGTGGGATAGAACATGTTGGCGTGCGGGGGAGGCATGAGTGTGGGACGTCACAGTCGCGTATGGAGAGGGATGCTGATGCGATTGGTGTTGCGCGAGCGGAGACAATCGAACGAATCAGTACTGAAAGTGCAGTTCGCGGAACTTGTGATGAGGATGATCTGTTCGGACGGGTTTTGGATGGTGGGAGATGACAAGATGGTGGGAGTAGCGGAGCGTCTGTTGTTGCAAAGGAGGTGGCGGCGAGATGTGCGAAAGTTCATCGGAGGCAGAGGAGCTCGCGAATAGCGGGATTGGAGTGGATGCCTGCTGTCGCGAGTGTCGTGGACGTCGTCGTGGCCGTTCACGCGGACTAGACAAGCAAAGGCATGAGCTCAGATCGACTGTACAGGTCGATCATGAGGGTTTCTTCGCGGATGGCAGATCGTGCCGAGAGATGACCGATGGTATGATTTCCATCGGTGGTGGATTCATTCTGGCATGGTTTCCAGAAGATGGAATCACTGGTATGGTTGCCAGCGGGGGCGGGGGATGTGTAGATTCGCTGGTATGGCTGTCGACTGATGGAGGCTTCAAACATCGTCGACAGCCTGACTTCATACATGGTTTTCCCAAAGCATTCAAAAGCCCGATCGACGTCAAGGGTTGATGTAGCAGCAGCCCAGGTCCCTGATCGATATCAAGGGCCAAATCTCGCTCTGATACCATCTGATATAGGGAGATACATGAAGAAGCAATATTAAGAAGAGCTAAATAGCTCTTGGAGAACCAACACAACTAATCTGTTATAAATTCCAAAAATATTCATTCTATCTTCTTCTACCTATTGCAGCTATTTTTAACAATATAATAGAAATGCCTAGAACTCTCTAGAAAAATGGTACTAAATTAGATAAACTATCCCTAAGCCTTGATTTAACTAATATGCTCCGCATCATAAGTGTTTATATGTTTTTGTATTTTATGGACATCGACAACCTTAAAAACTTATTCCGGGAAAATTATATGCCTTTCCCATAGTTCCGTACCAAAAACTAGTTTGCATGATAAGCTTGACAGATTCGTTATAGAAAATAATTCAAACCAGTACCAAAAAGTTTGGTGGAGGACAATTGATAGTTGAAGTGATGGTGTGCAATAAGACATGCTAATTAATTTTTGAAATGTTTCTTTCTTGTATCTATGAGACATTTCTTTGCTGAATGACATACATGAAGACGAGCTATAAGAATTTAAATGATTGTCATATGAGGAAAGAAGCATAAACCAAAGCCAATGATTAAATAGTTTCTTTTACTTATTTAACTTAAAATGGGAGTTTCTATAGAATATATTACTCTTTATCTAGCATGGAAGGTAAATAGCAAATATATTAATTGACGAAACATTTCTAATGATATGAGGATATGTTTATTTTTCAGTCATGCCACTTTTCCAGTAACAGGCGAATTCATGCTTAGTTCTTATTCTTTTCTTTCCTATCGTCAAGCTAGTTTTGATATTATAGTTGTTACTTGTTAACCTGTTTTAATAAATTGCAATTTCTGCATGCAGTGTTATCAGCAATGATGAGAAGGCTCACCTACGGAAAAAATTGTTATTAAATATTCGTGAAGAGAGTTCTCAGGTAAACATTCATGGTGTAGTTCCTTTCCTTGTATTCCTTTTTTCCTTATAACAAAATTTTTATTTGAATCCAATTTTACATATTTAAACTGGAAAAGTTCAATGTTCATAAAAATTATTGACATTTTGTTTTTTTTTTATGAATTGGGCCTTTCTTTGTTTTCTCTGTAGAACGCATAAGAAGGTCTTGTTTATCATTAGCAGCGGATTTCCTACATTCCAACCGTGTTAAAATGTTTTTTCTTGTGCATGTTATCCTACAGATAGCACTTCAGTTGGCTGATCTTATCTCAAAAATTGCACGTATAGATTATCCCAAAGAATGGTAAGTTCTTGTTTATGGGTCTTTCCATTTACCAATACTCATAAATTGTGGTTCCAGAGTTTGTTTGTCTAGGATTCTCTTAATCACTATGTTATGTCCTATGTTGCACCGATACACCTATTTATGAAGGCGTGCAGTATCCGATACACCAATACACAGATACGCCTCCGATACGCCACCGATACGTGTCCCGTATCCGTATTGTGTCGTATCCGTGTTGCCGTATCTGTATCGGTGCAACATAACTTATGTCTAATTTTTTTATGTTTCAAATTTTGAATTTCTCACTTTTTATCATTTATCCTGCTATGGTTATCAGCATAAGCATATTATGCCTCTAGCCTGTATTTTGATTGATATTCTGCTTTTCTGATAATAAAGCTATTCATTTACAGTTTGAGATGTTGGTCGTTTGTTGATCTTAGTTTGTCATTAGTTAAGTGAATTTCATTTGCAGTTATTAAATGAACTATTGGTATATCGTTTTGCTGAATTATGTAGTTATTGTTAGAACTTGTGGAAAATTATGTTATTCATTCTTAGTATTCAAGTGTCTTTCTAATATGATTTGTTTTTGGAGTCAAACCCCATACATCCCATTTGAAGACAAGGAGAAATACCATTGGCCCTCACACTCAGTAGGGTTTTGCTAATACAAGCTATTTACTTAAACCCTAAATTACATTTCTTGCATTATTTGTTATATCACGGTCTAGTTCTTAGTTGGGAAACCTTGTTATTGAGCTTTCTCGGCCTTCCCGGTGACACATTCTGTTTTTGGTGTTCAAATGGCCTTTATTTAGGCATCAAAGTGTGTTTTCTAATGTATTTTGTTTGTTCTATAGTTGCTTGTTAACTGTTTCTGTTATGTTTATGCCAGCAGAAGAATCCATTTTATAAATTAAGAGAGCATGAAATGGTGCCAGATAATAAGTTGTTTGTAATTACTATGATATTAAGCTATTCACATAAAAAGTCTGTTAGCATTTTAGGTGTTTAATTAATCTTAACTATGACCTATTGCCTTCAAAACCTAATATGAGTAAATTCAGACTGGGTGAAATATATTCTATGTCCATGGTAATACCCAGAGACTACTTTCACAAAGTTTTTTTTTTTTTTTTCCCTTGGAAGCATGGAGCTAGCATAAGTGTCCTAGAAGTAAGTTGGTATTGGGGCAAGAACTTGAAACTTGAAAGAGCAAGTTAGAAATGTGGCAGTAGTCCGAATCCTTACTTATAGTTAAAACATGCTCTGTTCTACTAGTTCCATCGGTTAACTGGTCAGAATTATTTCCTGGCTTCTGAACAGTATGACAGGTTGGTTGGCAAAAATGTTGAAAAAAAAATTATGCATGAAAATTTGATAAAAACTAAAACATGTTTATCTCCATTGCTTTACATTTTTCATTTCACCGATGAAGTTTACAGGGTTTCTTGAATCTAGGCAAACCTGTTTAAATACAACTTGGATGATTTAAAAATTTCCAGGAATTTTTTGTTGGGTTCACAATTTGTCAATAACGGTTAGATGGGTTACTGTAAATTGTTTGATGTGGCTGCTAAAATTATCTTTATATTATCAAACGCAAAGTTTCATAAGTTCTATTAAATTTCAGTTGCATTTGGAATTAATACTAAGTAAAATTTATTCTGAGCTTTATTTGGCATTCCCAATGACAACGGTCAGATTCTAGGAAACATACAGCAGGTACATGAAAAAGATTCTTGGAGCAGAGTAATAACATGCCCTTTTACAATCTGTAACCTTCTAAACTACTAAACATGTTGATACTGATGATTTTATATTTGATGAAACCTTGTTGGGGCCAGGGAGAGCTCATGCCTTAGGCTTCTGATGAATGTAAATAGACTAAAAGCTAGCTTGTTTCCATGATTAGCACAACGAAATTAGTGGTTTAGTTTGAACTGGGCTATGAATAAGTCATAATTTATCAACATTGGGAAAATCTTTCTCCAGGTTGTGAAAGCTCATTGATTAATTGAGACGGAATGGCTGGCTTCTAAATCTAATACATGTTGTATGGAGAAAAAAAAATCAAATGAAATGCCCCCTTTTGAGATTCAACATTTGGAATTCTTTGTCAAGTGAAAGATATTTGATCCTATGAGGTAAATTCATGATGACAAAATAAAGTATACTGTTCTTATTATTTATCAGTTAGATTGATAAAATTGCAGAGGATCCCGAACTGCTTCTTCTGTATCGCGGATCATCAAACACATGGGGTGGATGAACCAGCTACAATCGAAAATTTCCTAATTTCGGAAGCGAGTTGCAGGAGAGCTTCTTTCTATCCAACTTGAAATTATCGAAAAAATTGGAAACTATACACAGACTAAATCCTGGGCGAGCTCTTGGAGAGCCCAGCCATTATCCGGGCCTTGGCCTTATAGGGAGGTACTTGTAATCCTGGGGCTAATTAATATGGGTGGCTCCCCAGAACGATTTTTTTCTTTCTACTAAGCTTCTCATAGGAGGACTCTTTTCTTTAGAGCTACTGGAAAAAGGTATGTAAGTTCGTCCCTATTAAACCTTTTGGGAAACTGCATTCGGAATTAGCGGGGTAGGGACAGTTTCACTCAGCTGTCAGACCAAGTAACTATCAAAATGAGGCCGAGCTAGGAAAGAGGAGCTAATCACATCTTCCTTATATTTGTGAACCCTATGATGATCAAGTGAAGGACAGTCTTGATTAAAGCAAATGCTAGTCCAGATTGCGGACTTCCCTTGTTGTTGCCAGTAGTTAATTGTCACTTGTTTCCCACAGGGACCAAATTGTGCATGCTGATTTCTTGGAATTTAGCAAAATTACATTTTTGGGTTGGAATCATAACAAATCAAAGGCTTCATTAATGTGCATCCATGGCTTTTTATAAGATTGATATGTAAAATAATGTGGATCTAAGGTGCAATTGATTGGCCTAACAAATAATTTGCTTTCATTAATGGTCAATGTTCAATGAAAGGCTATTCCGATTAGGATATGTGAAACTAAAATTAGGATAGGAACTTGGAATATAGGTTCCATTACAGGAAAATTAATGGAATTAATAGATATTTAAACCTTAGTAAAAAAAAATGAAATGTTTAACATTTAAATAAAACATAGGTGGTTTTAATTAATTTTTTAAATATTTAAATTTAATAAATAAAATAAAATTATTTTAAAAAATATTAATATTTAATTGAGCCAGCTCGCGAGCTCACAAGCCGAGCCGGCTCAAGTTCGAACTCAAGCTCGACTCGTGAGCTCGATAAGCTCGACTCGCGAGCTCATAAATGAGTCGAGCTCAAGCCGGCTCGCGAGCCAGCTCGGCTCACTTACACCCCTAGCCTAATCTAGTACTTTTCCAATTAAGCTAACTAATTTGTTTCGCATTAAAGTTTTAAGAAGGGTTAAAAATTGATCTAATTCAACACCTTTGTAGCTTGATTATACTCATTATGCGTAACTTATGAAAATTTGATTTTTCTGGACTAAATGAATTAATTTGTACTTCATCAAAGTGATACTGAATGGGCAATAAAAGGGGAAAACCCCTCAAAATTTGACAGAGAGGGAAAAGAGTGTGAAAAGATTGATCACAAATCAATTTGATTATAAATTCTCAAAGCATTGAATTGTTGAATCTTCAAAATAGGTTGTACTGATGTCACAAAATACATGAATGAAGACTGAAAATTCCATGCAGCCAGAACTTGTACTTTTCTATTTATCAAAGTCGACCATCCTGTTAACCCTATGATATAAGGGTATTTAAGGTTATAAATCTAAACAAGTTTCTGATTAGTAAATAAATGAATATTTACTGAAAGTCTGAGGAGATTGTAAGACCTCAAGGAGTTAATCTAAGGCACACTAATACGAAAATAATATTATCACTTGATGCGGAAGCTAGTACACTTATCAAAAGTTATAAAGATGGTGATGATAGTCTAATCAATACAACGTAATATCAATCACAAATTTGCAACCAAACAATTAACACAAAATAAAATGCGGAAAAATAATGTGCAGAAAATAAAACTAGAATGAACACGCCAGAATTTTATAGTGGTTCTATCAAACCATGACCTACGTCCACTTCATAGAGTCCTCCACTCTGATTATTGCACTATCACTATAGTGTATCTCTTTTAGCTCCCACAGCTAGGCGGAGAAGCCCTTACAAAATCTCTTCCACCAACCCGGCAAGGCCGAAGACCAAATTCTTTTCACCCTCCTTGTGAGGCAGAGAACCTGGAATCCTTTTTACATTCCTAGTGAGGCAGAGATCCTGAAATCCTTTTCATCTTCCTGATGAGACAGATAACTTAGAATCAATCCTTTTCACCCTCATGGTGAGGTAGAGAACCTGGAATCCTTTTTCACCCACATGGTGAAGACAGAGAACCTGCAATCACTTTCACATTCCCTGATGCGGCGGAGTAGCCGGGTCTTTTGACACCAAAGAGGTCTTCTTTCCAAAGCTTCCCTCAAGACAAATGTTGACACATAGAGGAACTCAGGTGCATGTTCGCTAGAGAAACCATATGGAACTCTCTCTCACACTCCATTACAACACACAGGGATCTTCTCCCTCTCACAAATTCTACCATTCTCTCTCAAGTTCTAGGCTCTCTTTTCAAGCTTTCTTCAGAGGAAAACACTCAATGAATGCCCAAAAGACTATTACAAAGTCTTATGAAAAAACTTAAATAGAGTGTTTTAAAAATCCTAAAAATTCAATTCATCCATCAAAGATCGTACAGTTTGATTGCAAGATCGTCTAGTATGATGTGCAAAATTTGACCTGTTAGTACTATACGATCATCAGTACGAATGAACAACAGTACAATGCGATTAGTTCAATTTTGCTTGTTAGTGCTGTATGATCACTAGTATGAATGAACAATTATACAGTATGATTAGTTCAACCAAATTGCAATTCTTTTAGGATGAATCCTGGGACGACCAAATATCGTCTCTGTCGATTGTACAATACAATCAAAATATCAAAACTAAGAAGATTCGATTGATTAATCACATGCTTAAATTAGAAAATATTTTAAACATTGTACAATACAATTAAGTTTGCAGATTACGAATAAAACAATATTTCAAATGCAAATTTTTGCCTAATTTAATGAATGGCGGGGGTTCTGATTATAATAGTTCATCAAGTACGATGTTGTGTTCGTATTGTACGATTAATTATATTTCAAAATTTTTTTTTTCAGATAAATAAAATATTTTAATTAATTTCTGTAATAACATATCATCCAGTACGATACCTATCATATAGTAAGATTTACAGTAAAATAAAACTATTTAAAATTATTTTTGCTCCCCTTATGTGTGTGCACGGTTGCCCTACGAGCATATACCCTTACAACACTTGACTTAAGAAATTAAAAATAAATAAATGAAAATTACAGATTCTTTCAACATAACCTATTCTACCTAATCTTGAGCCCTGAATCTTCAAAGAACAGTGCATGTTGTACATGAAATGTTACACAAACATATATGCACTACAAATACTTAGAGAAATAAAGAAGCAATTAATAATATTTGCTATCATAAAAAAAATAAACTCAGGAGCCTGAGTTGCAACATTCATAACACATACCGTACTTAGCCATGATAATTTAATTAATGATGAACATATGATAAAAAAGCTTCTAACTACTAGATAACAAAATTGTAAATTTAAATCATTTAAGTCTTCATCAGTTTGATAATCAGAATTCTTTAAATGCTTGCTCTTGCTGGCCTATGTCATAAGGACGTACTTCAAATTATCAATGAAGACACATTATCATTATATTTGATGTTGTGAGAGATTGTGGAAATCTTTAAATATATGTATTACTTGTCTATTATAAACTTTTTCAAACTTGGATCATTCAAAAGTTAAACTCGGTTAATGTAAGCGCCTGTGTATAATTTATCATAAGCTTCATAGAAAATGAGGGGGGGGGGGGGGGGGGGGGGTGGATTTTTACAGCCAGATTACTAGAATGTGATCAAACGTCTTTAGTGTTGGGAGGTGTTTAGGTTCGAAGAGGTATAGTTGAATAAAATAGAGAAATGCAACATATTTCAAAAGTCTTGTATTGATACTTTTGTATGAATTGATTTTGGATATGGTATTTCTTAGGATTGTTCATATTTATGGAGGGCACCATGAAGGTTAACATGGATCTGCTGAAACCTGACCTTTTATTATCTATATTATATAGTTAATTCGCTATGTATTCAAGATGCTTTACTCTTTCACTTCAGATTTAAATTTTCTTACATTTTTTTAATTCAGGCCAGAGCTTTTTTCATTACTGGCACAGCAGCTGCAATCAGCAGACATACTAGCTTCACATAGGGTTTTTATGGTTCTTTTTCGAACATTGAAGGAGCTGTCAACTAAGCGTCTTAGTGCAGATCAAAGAACCTTCTCTGAGGTATCTCTCTGGTTCTCCTGACCCTGATGCACTATCTACACGAAGCAGCATTTTTTTATGGAGCGTTCAGCATGTTGGATTATTTGCTCCAAAATTTTCTAGGCATGCTATTTCTACCATGACAAAAGATAGGCAGCAATTTTACTTTAGCTGTTTCTATAATTGTTTCTATAATTCCATGTAAGAATTCATATCCTCTCAACTTGCATGATAGTTTTGATTTTGAATTTGAAAAGTAAAATAAAGAATTCGAAAGAAAAGAATTGCTTTGTTTTGATTGAGAGTTTTAAATGAAAATAAAAGAAAAGAATAAGCGAATGACTTTCCTATATGTGCTGAATTTTATTCCACTCCCAAAATAAGTGGAAAATGGAGAGAGCAATAACAAAATAACATTTTAATAAACCCAAACTACTTTTATTTTGATAAAATTACAAGTATTTATTACATCTGAATCTAATGGACCGGCCGATTTGATTGGGAGGGATTTAGAAAGTTTCTTAATCAAGTGGGAGTTGTTTAGGATAGCTCTTAATCAAGGGAGAATTGGTTAGGAATATTTTAATTATAATTTGGAGTGAATTATTTAGGATAACAAATTTAATTTGAATTTAAAATCTAAGAGGGAATTATTTAGAGAAAGGGAGGAGGAATCAAAAGTGAATTATTTAGGAAAGTTTTAATTACAGTTAGGAGAAAATTATTTAGGGAAAGAGATCTGATTTGAATTCAAATATGAGATGAAATTATTTAGTGAAAGAGGGCTGATTTGGGAGGGAATTAGGGGAGCCTATTTAAGGTTGACAATAGGGTGATTTTAGGATTATGATGTTTTTTGCTGAATTTAGATTGTTCTTAGGGGGTTTTGGGCTCTAGCCGGCGGCTAGGGATTTGGGACAGTTGGATCTTCCTTCCCAATCGAAGATCCATTGTATCTTGTTGTTTTCTTTCATATATCATCAATTAAAAAGAGTTTTCTCTTATTATTGCTCTTAGTTTCTCTTGGAGATTGCTGTAATTTAATTTCAGCCAAGGGAGACGATTTTTACCGGCACTTTCTATCACACTTGTTATCTTTCTTCATATGAGAATGCACATTTCAACTGAATTATGATTTTTCATTTACTTATGTACATGAAGGATTTTTTTGAGTGTGAGATTTATTAATGAGGATGTCGACTTGATCAATCATGGTCGTCAAGTATCCATTGACAATGGTCATTTTTCTGTAGCTAGGACAACTGTGTATAAAAATAAATTTTGTGAGTTGGTGATATAATTTGCTGCTCCTGAATCAATGATTCGGGATCTAGAAATAAACATCTCTAAGATGTTTAAAGCATGAGAAAGAGGATGCAATACCCTAGAAGGCTAGAGTACAAGTGCTTGTTTTAGATTTTTTTTAGTGATCCTATTATTTTTTTTTAGTTTTTCTATTTTTTATTTGTGGAACTCAATGGATGATTCTTTGGTGTTATCTTCTCCCACGGGTTATATGTGAATGCCTCTCCTATTTTGCCTACCCTTTTGTTCTGTCTGATTTTGATTTTGTAGCTATTCATGAAATTTCTAGCATTTGCCATTTGTTTGCCTTACATTTTTGCAATATATGCACTATAGAGTATTTCTGTTGAACCATTTTTTTTTTCTACGGTTGGTTGATTGTTGTCCTCAATAATAGAGTTTTGAGTTAATTTTTTTTTGTTGTCAACCATGGACATAAGGCCAAACCCTCCACGAGGTTTTTCATAATCATCTCCGCTTCTCCCTTCCTCAATTTTAATAATCGCAATGACTTCATTTAATGATGTTAACCTTAATTATGAGAATTTGTACCCTTACAACTTCAAACTCATCATTTAATCTAGTAAGAGAATCATATATTCAATCATTTCAACAAACCTTTTAAGAAGAGCTATATATTTGCTGCATTTCATTTGAATGCATAAATAATGGTATGCCTCTTATCATTGGCTTTACAAAAGAATGGAATGTCCTATGATTTATGGTCCTCCATTCTTTGTGGATGAAATCTTAGTCTTAACTTTCATTGATTTGTGCAGCATCATGAACTTTAAAATACACTTGATTTATCTTGTCCTATATTTTCTTTGCTGAATGAAGGAACATGCGTGTATCATTTATCTCAAGAGTTACAAAAAATAGCCCAATTTTCTTCTTTCAAATTACGATCACTTTAGATAATTATTTTCATTCAGTCGATATGTTCCATTAATGTTTTACTACTCTCTCATTGGATTTGGACAGTAGCTCTCAGTCCCAAGAAAATACTAGCATTGTTGGTGTTGTCCATGGTGAGGAAAGCCAGGGTAACTGTTTGTTTGTGGAGTAGAAAATGTTGCATCTCATGGTGACTCCTCTAGGTCGACACAAGGCGAACAGAGATATGTATTACTAACTCTTTATATACCATAAATTCTAATTAGAAAAAGTTAAAATCTACACAATTCAGTAGAGCGGACGCATTTCAAAAATTTTTTTTTTTTAAAATTTATTTAACTATAGTGCTTCTAAAATAAATCATAATTATTTTATATATCATCAAAATTTCATAATAGTCGTATCTAACAAAACTTTATTTTAAATAAAACTGTATTCCCAAAAGATAAAATAGTATATCAAAATATGATTCTTATTCGGGCTCTATTTTATCATTTTCTTTTCCGGAAATAGTATTCAATATAGTACTGTATGAGCTAAACATTTAGCAAATAAACAATTTTATTATAGATTTCAAATATCATAAAAATTCATTTATACTCATATGTTAGTCTACTGTGTTACTTGAAATCCTTAAACATGAAAATGCTCGAGTAATATTTAATTTTCCAGTAAGTAAAATCTCTGATTAAACAAAAAACTTTAACAAGAACATTAGAGTTTCATGCATTAATAATTCTTTATAAAAGTGTGGACATGTATTATTTTGTTAACTAATCTTCTTTGAATTTCTTTTATTAGTTACATATATTATTTGAGTTCCTTTTTCTACTTTAGAATATATTATGCATGTGGGAGTGGTTTATTTGCCATCATAAGCTTGAAAGCTATGTGTCGGGATTCAAATGCAAAAAATTCAGATTTTACATTAATCCATAACCTTCTTCCTCTTCTTCCTTTTCTTCTCCTTCTTTCCCTTTTTCTTCTTCCAGCCAACAGCCTTCTTCTTACTTTCTTCTTCTCCTTCCTTCTTTCCTCTTTAGCCTAACATTCCAGCTATCTGTTTCCGCCAAATGCAAGTCACGGATGGAGTGTTAAGAAATGAGATATTGCATAAGATTTCTATAATATATATATATATTAGTTTATAATATTACTTAATATCCTTTTTCAATTCATAACAGCCCTATGATTCCAAATCAAGCCAATGCATGCCAATTTAATTGGAAAACTGGAAGTTCCACTAACATCTATATTAAAAAAT